TTGAGTTCGTCACGGGTCTTGATACGGTAGCCTTGGTAGTTGTCCTTGGCTCCGAAGACTGTGGGAATGTTGGCAAATTCCCACGGCTGGATGTCATTGTAAACTGCGTCCCATCCGTGGATGTATCGCTCGATAGTGTAGCCATCGTTGCAGATAACGAAGCTGGAGATGGTCAGTTTATGAAATGAGACTTATGGGTTGGTAGGGATGCTTACACAATAGGGTTCAGCTTATTCTTTAGAATAGTGCTGAGTTCCTGCACAGTGAGTTGGATACTTCCGTCGCCGATGAAGAGGATGGTTCGGCGGTCTTTCTGCTCCTTAGCAGCAAGAGCAGCACCCTGGCAGGCTCCCATGGAATATCCAATGCTACCCCAAAGAACTTGGCTAATCGCAGTGACGTTCGCGGGGAAGCGAGTTTCCCAGATACCAAAGTTGGCAGTGCCAGTCTCCGTAAGGACGATGTCCTTTTCCCTTAGCCACTGTCCGACGATCGGCCAGAGCCACTTGTGGGTGATGGTTTGGTCGGTAGAGACTTGTTCGCTTTCGGGCAGCCGGTTCGTGATCAGAGGGATATGAGCAGGGATCAGAGGATTCATCCGCTCAACCACCTTCCTCAGAACACCTTTCATGTTGATATCGGGATACTCTGAGTACCGCACTCTCACGAAGGTACTGTGGAAGTCAATGGTGTTCAGCTGTCCAACACGATAAGTGAAACCAGTGGTGTTGAAATCGGACTTGATCGCTCCAATGCTCAGAATGAGGTCAGAGGACTCAACGGCCTCACTGACTCCAGCATTGGACCCGTTACCAGCATAAACACCGCCGAAGTTCTTGTGATCCTCGTTCACGGCTCCCTTGCCCATTGGAGTCACAAAGGTTGGCAAGCCAGACTTCTCCACCAAGTCGCGCACTTCTTCTAGTGCGCGGTGACGAATGGCACAGGCGTCAACCAAGATGACAGGGTTCTTTGCGGCATGGAGATACTTCAGGACAACATCGACAACATAGTCCTCCTTCTCCGGGTCATTCTTAGGCAGTGAAAGATCAATCGGAGTCTTCAGGCGATCACCATTGACCTTGACAGCGACCATATCAGTTGGCAGAGTGATGTACACCGGACGACTACGAATCCAACATTCACGAATCGCGCTGTCGATCAGAGTAGCTGCGTCATGGGGGTCGTTCAGGTGTGCGACATAGCAGGAGATACCCGCGCTCATTTTGCTAAAAACATTGAAATCTCCGTTTCCGAGAGTGTGGTGCAACAACATTCCATCCCTTTGAGACCCCGTGGTGGGCTGGCCAACGATGTGGATGACTGGGACAAATTCGGAGTATGCGCCTGCGATGGCATTGAGGGCGGACAACTCTCCAACACCGAATGTGGTGACAAGGGCACTGATACCATTTACGCGGGCATAGCCATCGGCAGCATAGCCTAAGAGGGACTGGTGTCAGATCCAAATCATTCGGTCGTAGTAAAGCATGTCTTACCGGCATTGAGTTCGTTGCAGTTTCCAACCCAGCTGAGATCACATTTAGGCAGGTAATCCAATGCTGCAAGATTGTAGTCACCGGGTAGACCATGCACTGAGCGGATTCCAACTTCACGGAGACGTCGGAATAAGTACTCGGCAACGTCGATGGGATTCTCTAGCTCCCTGGTGGCAATATCGGTAGTTGCCATGATGAATTGATGTGCTTGGGGGTGGATAAATAGATGGAAAGATAATGATGAAATGGTGAGAGGTGAAACTAGAGGGATGAGAGGTGTTATATACCAAAGAACATGAGTTTTCTTGCTTCCTTGATGGCAAAGGTGAGACCATTAACTACGTCATTGGTTTGATGTCATACCACCACTTTGCTATTTTTATGATATTGGATGTTGTGCTCAAATGTTATTTAGAGACTAGAACTCAAAAGATAAGAGATTTGTTTTATTATTTAGGATCTTTAAACAATATACCGCATATAAAATATCGGAACATAGTACGATGTATTAAGCATCTGTTGTTGAGCCCCGGCTAAACCCAATCACAACCATCTCCCGGCCGATCACACAAAACTCCCACCCCCACTACCTCAGACCACCATCCTAACATATCAAAGCTTGGTTTGTCTAAATGGGGAAAAGAGCTATGCCTGACAAATCAAATCGCTCGTCAAAGAAGAAAAGGGTTAGTTTCTACATCTTGCATTGCCAGAGCACTAACTAATGGGATTAGGGTGGTGGTGGAAAATATGGGCCGCAGAAAAGTCGCGTCGCTATTGAATCTGGCGATGTGGGTGTCTTTTTGACATGCGATATGGGCAGAGAAGGGAAATGTTTATCTGAGGCAGTGGATATCTTTTCTCAGGTGGGATGATTTTTTTTTTTTTTTCCGTTTTCTCACACCGGAGGTCATTCCTACAGTTTCGTTGACTTTTTATCTAGGCCATTGAGGGCACTGAAAATCAAGAGGAGGAGGAGCAAGATACCGATGATGAAGATATCGAGGCCCAGATCCGAAGGGAACTGGAGGGCCTACAGCCCAACAAAGATAAACGTCGTCAATTCGAGCCCATGCAGATGGAAATGCCCTGTGGTAAGTCGACGATTATGTTGTATTCCCAAAACAAACGCCATTTCGCTTATGCGCTCGGCCCTTGGAACGATTGATTGGTGCTAATCTCTAATAGTGACATTCATGCGTCTTGATCCCTCAATAGACCCAGTGAAGCTTGTGCACCGTCTGTGTATCGAAGCACATGCCCACCCGGAAACTAAGAAGAGCCGGTGGATTAAGCGCATGCATCCAGTCACGTCAATCCGCAAAACTTTGAGTGTGGATCTAGCGGCTTTTGCCAAAGAGATTCTCAAGCCTCATTTCCATTCGGGAGGGCCGCCGAAGACGGTGAGTTTAAGGCCCCCTACCTTCCCTCTTTGGGCTGTTGGGCAGTCGGAGATACTACTGATCTGGGAAATGATCCGATCCTACTTTTTGCTGTGAGGAGAAATATACTTTGAGCATTGCTGACTTGACATTTATTTAGTACGCCATTCGGCCTACTGTGCGAGGCAATTCGAAGCTCAAGCGTGACAGTATTATCAAGACTGTTGCTGATGCTGTCGGACCTGAGCATCCAGTGAATTTGACGAACTATGACCTAATGATCCTCGTCGATGTTGCCCAAGTGAGTACCAGAAAACAAACCCTATCCTACCAAATCTTCAACTAACTCGTCACAGAATGTGATTGGAATGAGTGTAGTGCAAGGTGATTACGATAAGCTGAAGCGGTTCAACTTGGCCGAAATCTACGATCCTTCCCCAAAAGAAGAGCCAGCATCGACGGCCATTGAATCTAAGGCTTAGTATCAATGGCACAGTACTTTCCACATTAGGCACCAAGTTACTTTAGTGGAATCTTTTTATACATACTATGACCCATGTTACTAGTCGTTTTCTCTTCTGTCGTTCCGATCAATTCAACAAGAGTATATCAAAAAGACCAGGAATCCAGTCATTCGGCGTCATCCAGAGCATCGAAATAATCTCAGGTGGATTGGATGCAGGATGGGCTCCAAGTTACACATATTCGATATTGGGTCCCGTAAACAATAATGTTAGTCGGAGAACCTTCTCCACTTGACATTATTGTCGAGTTTTCCGTAATCAATCTACTATCGTTAAAAGAATTGAAGACCATTAGAGGATAATCGATGAGACATCCACGAAGAAAGCTGGAACCCCCTTATTATATTTATATTTTATATTTTATGTGCTTCTTTGGCTTCCTGGAGTATTGTTTTATCGTTTGGGGGGTTGAAAAGGGAAAAAGGAAATACTCTAGGAAGTTGGAGTGGATATATAATTGACACGACATCAACTGTATCCACGCTAAAAGCACACTACTTTATGTTGAACCCCCCCCCAAGTCTTTACTACACATCACATCTCCTGCAGCTAGCCCCGAAAGATGCTACATAAAGATGCTACATTACGGAATAGAGGACCCTAAAATCCTGGCCCGCGACTGTGCAGTCATAAGCCATCCACAGGCCCATAGGTCCCGGCGGCATGGACGAATCAACTCCATAATTCAAAAAGAGTCAAAAAGAATTATAAAACAGAAGATGGGAGCTATATGGAGATCTAAGGGTCTACTTCAGAAAGTATTTGTAACGCAAGTCATTTAATTCAAGAAAATCTCCGGTGGCTTGGACCCAGGGAGCGTTCCATACCAGTTTCAGAAAATAGAATCGATTATCAACCCGGAATAGACCGTCCAAGTCCACCGCAAATAGGGAAATGAGTGAGCTCGGTAAGGAGCCGAGACGAAGAAATAGAACTTTGGACTCTATATTTCTGGATCCACGGGAAGAATTCGGCAAGGGACGATTGTGATTGGTTGAAGGGTCAAGTGCTCGGATGATCAACTTTCTTAGAGCGGGATCCTTAGGCGAGACTGCTTCACTTAATTTGCTTGTTCCCATATTTCTTGTTACTCGTGGGCCAATGTGATAACAGAGTCCGTAATCTCGCTTGCGAATACTTCCCTAGCGAAACATATTCTTCCAATTTGACTCCGCAGTCTATCTTCGACCTAGGATAAAGCTTCTCTGTCGTATCTCGCGTGGATAAACCTAGAAGCGCGAGTCATGGCGTTGAAGACACGCTGTCACTGTCCTTCTATTGCGGGTTACGTATGTAGACGATCATGGCGGTCCAATTTGCCCCATTGATATTCAACTCCAAGGAGTAACTACTCCGTAGCCCGATTATGGATTCATTTTCACATACTCTTTGTTCTAGAAGCGAGACTTGCGCCACATCTGCTGGGATATATCTCCTCGGCATATATTCGTCCTTGCCTTGCAATGTCTATGACTCGCGATAGCGTTGTTCATACATCACCCCGTGTCAATATATTTTCCAAGGTTCATGAGTCGTAGCCTTGCTTATATAGCATCCCACTCTGTTTACCAATCTTCCCTACCGAATAGTTCACGATGCAACAACTTAACTGGAAAACATGGTCTGCGATGCCATCACTCAAGGGAACAAACGGCAGCGAATCTTTTCATCGGCAGTCTCGTGCCGAGGTAGACGAATACCATAGACTGGACGATGTCCTCTCGCTGCTGTTTCCTTCCACAGTTCGTGTGCAGCACTCACATCCTATTTTCGGCCACATGCACTCATTGCGGCGTCTGACGCTGTCGAATGGAGCTCATTTGTTGCTCAAGGGGTCTCCATCATCAAGGACCGCTCTCCTTCGACGTGAGCGGTCGTTCCTCGAAACTGAAGCCCAGTTCCTTTCCCTTCTAACGCAAAGTGCAAACCCTTGTATCCCTCAGCTCTATCATTATGATCCCCACGGAAGACTCTGGGGATCTGCCTACTTGATCCGACAGTACATGAAAGGGAAGAGTCTGTCAGAGATGGAAGGCGAGCTCACCCCTCAGCAACGTGACGGTATCGACCGCCACTTGGGCTTCTTAGTGAGCGCCATCGGTCAAAATGCGGCCCCTGGTTTTGGCTCTTTGCAGCAAGTGGCATTTGGCGCTGGAAGATCCTCCTGGCGAGAGGCCTTCTGCGCTCTGTTTGAAGGCATTCTTCGCGATGCCGAGGACATGTTCATCCACCTTCCTTACTCGGAGATCCGACATGAACTCAGTCGCCTGGCACCTGCTCTTGAAGATGTTTCGCTGCCACGTCTTGTGGTCGTGGACTTTGGTCGACCCTGCCACGTTTTGGTGAACGAAGAGTCTGGACAGCTATCTGGTATTGTGGACTTCAGCAGTGCCGTGTGGGGTGATGTGTTGATGGCAGAGATTTTTGCGAATGCATCCCCTGCAGTCTTACAGGGAGCAGGGATGGCGATGTCCAGGACAAGGGAGGAAAATATCCGGCTGGTGTTGTATGTGTCTGAATGCTGAATACTGTCTCAATTACTGTGCATTGTTGCTAACTCTTTCTTTTCAAAATAGATATGGGTGCTACCGGCTGGTGTCCCAAATCACTGTGCAATATTATCGAAACCGAGACGAGACGAGCGAATTTGATGCGCGGAGACGATTGACAACCACGATTGAGGAAATGACGAGGCTTAAACTGGCATAACGTGGCAAAATGATTTAACTGAGCGCTTTATATGTCCGACGTGATACCTAGATGATCACCATTAGACTGGTTCTGTTGCATAGCGAGCTTCCTTCCAGCGACGGGCCGGCCCTATATAGCTGCATGCGATTTGGAGTCTTTATCTTTTTTGCATTGATAGCGTTTTTTTATCAAATTGTTCCAAGCGAAATAAAATTTGTTCTCATATCAATCTATGTGTTATAGAACAACAAGACCTTGGGAGAGAGAAGAATCAAGTTGCCTTCAATGCCAAGTCGGAACTGATAGGGCGATAGGGCGGAGCGGGGCAGATCCGTTGTTTAGCTTCTGCATGGCGTCAATGGTATTCTTTCTCCGCACTTGACCATTTCTACTTTTTCTCATACACCTCTATCGCAGATGGCTCAGTTCCTGCGAGGAAAGCAAGCTGGTATCCAGAAGGATCTGTCTGAGGGCTTGTCCCCGGACTTGTTCGTCCTGGACGATGTAAGTTCTTGGCATCCCAGGCATCTCTTTTTTTCCCAACTGACACCGCTGTTCTCAGTTCGCACGATGTGGTGTGAACTCGCAGATTAGTACCATCGCATACGATCCTATACAATCCCTCATCGCAGTCGGCACCAGTGATACCCAGTTTGGAAGCGGGCAGATCTATGTCTTTGGGCAACGACGAGTTTCGGTGGTCTTTGAGTTCCCGCGGAAGGCGTCTGCGCGGTTTCTTCAGTTTTGCGCCGACAAGCTGATCAGCATCGACTCCAAGAATGAAATCTGCATATATTCCTTGGTGACTGGGCGCATGGTGGTTTCCTACGCGCCACCGGGCCAGGTGACCGCTTTGTTAACGGACCCTTGCTTGGATTATGCGTTTATCGGCATGCAGAATGGTCCGTAAATTGATTAGGGAACCGAAAAGAACCGAAAATTGACACGTCAATAGGTGAAATTATTGCGTACGATCTCGATCGAGAGTCCTTGACGCCCTTCAAAGTTCCGAACTTGTGGTTGGAACGAAACCCCCGCGCGCGGTTCTTCCCCGTCGTCTCCCTGGAGTTCTCTCCTCGAGACATTGGTAAGATCCTAGTGGGATATCCAGAGGGAGCGGTGACATTTACATTCAAGCAAAATCTTGCTCAAAAGTATTTTGTTTACGAAATCCCTCCTGGGGCACCGGGTGGAGACTCCCTACCATCCCACGACGTGCGCAGACCCAAATTGACCAACGCGATATGGCACCCCAACGGAATCTTCATTTTGACTGTTCATGAAGACTCGAGTCTAGTGCTCTGGGATACAAAGGATGGGCGCAAGCTTCATGCCCGGACTGTCCAGACTCCGAATGTCGACCAACCAGGTGCTGGTGGCAGACCAGGCTCACCTGGAGAGGCTACTGGGCCCAAAGAACGGATCACAAAGGTTATTTGGTGTGTCAAAGACAACCCGGATGATACTGGTCTTTTGGTGGCTGGTGGTCGACCAGTAGGTGATCAGACCAAGGGCCTCATTTTCTTGGACATGGGCTCGACGCCCAACTACCAGACATCCTCGTGGCAAATTCTATCTACTTATCTCGAGAGGCCACGGCGACAAATCAACCTCTCTGTCCCACCGGGAGCTAAGGTTGTCGACCTTTGCCTGATCCCTCGATCCTCGCCCTACTTCAATGGCGCCCATGACCCAATCGCACTCATAGCTATGTTATCATCGGGTGAAATTATTACCCTGAGTTTCCCCAGTGGACACACAATCACTCCCACTAACATGCTTCATCCGTACCTCACCTTCGTCCATCCATTTGTAAACAAAGCCGTGCTTACTCCCGTTGATCGGACGGTGTGGCTTGGTCTGAGAGAGCGCCGGTCGCAGGGACCCAGATTTGCAATGGGCGGCGTGGAGGCGAAGAACCCTCTCAAGCGCTTTGAGAACCGCAATGTTATTTCGACCGCACACGCAGATGGAACCGTCCGTGTCTGGGACGGTGGCCACGATGATGAAATTGAGAACGGCGACGTGGTTCAAGTTGACCTTGCCCGTGCCATAGGCCGAGTCGGCAATATCGAGGTGACCGAAATGTCTCTCGCCAGCGGCTCAGGCGAGATGTCTATTGGACTCAGGACTGGAGAGCTTGCTGTCTTCCGATGGGGCAACAATCCCTCATACGGGCGTGAAGAGTCTCCTGGTGTCAATGACGGGCCAGGGAAGCTGACTCCGATAACCAAGCGGACTGACCCTGGTCTCAAGACAGGAATGCTACCTCTAACTCTTTTGAATATGCAACAAGGTCCGGTGACGGCGTTGAAGCATGGGCAGGTTGGATTTGTAGCGGCCGGTTACCAGAGTGGTACTTTGGTGATTATTGACTTGCGTGGGCCTGCTATCATACACACCGTACACATGTCAGACCTCCTTAAGGGACAGAAGCGGAGTAGTTTCCGCAGGAACCGTGGCTCGGATGAAGTCCAACCAGAATGGCCCACTCAGATTGAATTCGGTGTCATGACTTTGGATGGCGAAGGTACCTATGCACAACTCGGGCTAGTGGATTAGACCATGTACTAACTGTGCTCTAGACTACTCGAGCATTTGCTGCTTTGTCGGCACGAATAGGGGCAATGTGGCAACATTCAAGATCCTTCCTGCTTCCAATGGCACCTATGAAGCTGCTTTTGCTGGGTCATCGGCTGTTGAAGACAAGGTGATCAGTGTCATTCCCATCGATGCCGAGTCTGGTGGTCTTGCTTTGGCTACACCAAGTTCAGTCGGAGGTTTGAGGAGTGGTACGAAAACTAATGGTGTTGTCATTGCCGTAACTGCCTCTGGCTGTCGAATCTTCAAGCCCCCGACATCAAAGGGTGCCCACAAGGCATGGGATGACTGTCTCTGCGACTCAGCAGCCGTTGTCAAGACCGAGGGACGAGGCTACAGCTTGGTTGGTCTCTTTGGTGACGGCCACGCACGAGCTTTCTCGATCCCAGCTCTTCGAGATATTGGTTGCACCAAGATTAACCATATCGCGGATATGCGACGCCTCTCGGAAGCTTGCATTACCCCTACTGGAAACATCATGACATGGGTCGGCCCTTCAGAGGTCGGAATGTTCAATGTTTGGGGAGGTGGAAACGGCCTGTATGCGTCCCCCATCAATTCGCTGAAACATGGTGCTAATGCTAACTCATGCACAGGCACCCCTCAAACGACAAGCTTTACAATCCAGAAGCCGTGGTTCCCCCGCGTCCAACCATCACGAACGTCCAATGGATATCCGGTACACAATATATTTCACCGGCTGACATGGACATTCTAAGTATGTCAACCCCCGTCAGTGCCAGTATAATTGTAAACTAACATCAAATCTAGTCGGCGGTCCGGAGCGACCACCATCGAAGGGGATGGTCGAACAGATGAAATTCGAAGAGCAAGAACGCCGAAGAGCACTAAAAGAAGGACGGACCCCACCGACACCGGCACAGGGTAGTAGCCAGGAAGGCTACTGGTCTTACATGTCACGTCAAGTCCAAGAACGCACAGAGCGTCTCGGGATTGTCGGAGATAGCATGGACAGGCTTGAGGAGAACAGCAGCGGCTTTGCTAGCGATGTTAATAAATACGTCCAGTCACAAAAGAAGAAAGCTGTCATGGGTGGTAAGTCGATCTTCCTCCAGGTCCACAGACCTATGTGTAGTGTTTAACCCCCTTGCATAACTGTCGCTGACCGGTCTTTTGACAATAGCGCTTGGTTCTAAATTTGGCTTTTAGGCGATATCTCCTACCGAATACAAGGTTTTCTAAAAATGGGTGAACTATACATCCTAGGAGTCTACATTATTTTTCCCGGCGTCAGGCTAGTTAGGTCATGGTGGGATGTGACAGATCACTTAGCAATTTCACCCCTCCACTTGACTCCCCGCTTCAAGCTGGATCCACTCGTACAATTGTAGGTGTTCGTTTGTCTCCTTTGGCAAACTTAGAGCAGAAGCTATCAAAGCTAGTTCTAAGACATAAGTACACCTAGCTACGTATGAAATGAAGAAAAGTACATAACAACAATGACTTTGATAAAGTGAGACACAAGTTCTCGCTAGTACGTAGTAAGTACATCCGTAAGTAAGGTAAACGATAGACTGAGGCTTCGTTGTAGTAAATAGTTCGGCGGAAATACAATATAGTATTTCATATATTCAAGGCGATTCGACATTCATCGATGCGAAGTGGGTTTTACGTGGTACAAAACGGCCTCACAGCTGTGCCTATTACTACAAGTAGATATTCAGAGGAAAGGGATGGATATAAACGGCTGACTGAAGGTCAGTGGGATTCAAAATTATACCAATTCTATTTCATAGACGTATCGTCAATGCCAATTCAGGGTAAGAACATGGAAAATCAGTCCAAGGGTCGTAAACATTGCGTTCTGGCTGTCGTTAAATAGTATTCAAAAGAAGAAGAGTTTAAAAGCAAAGAAACCACTCCTGCGGGTCGGTGGGACACCATGACTTAGTGCACCATGAGCTCGGGCTGCGGCTGGTGAGTAGGCTTGGTGGCATCGTCCTTGTGTTCTGCGTCGTCGCCCATCTCGACATCGTCGTCACCATCGCCACCCTCTTCCTCATCAAGATCGTCCTCATCGTCGTCACTCTCCGCCTCAAGATCTTCACTTTCGGCATCGGAGATCTCTTCTTCCTCGTCCTCCTTGCCAGCAGGGGCCTCGGTGCCTTCCATTTCATGGTCATCACCCTCGGCGGGCTTATTGGAGTCCTCGAGCTCCCTGAGGAGCGCAGCCTCGAGCTCACGCTCCTCGGCACCGTAGGCTCCACTGTCATCGTCGAGACCATCGGCCTCGGGCTGGTCAGGCGGGTACTCGGCGGGGGCAGAGTCATCAGAGTCCCTAAGAAAGAAGAAAAGGTAAATAAAAGCCCCACTTGGTATGTAAACAAACAAAACGAGGGATTCTCACCATTTGATGGCAAAGCGGGTCACACGGGGCTTCTCGGCGAGGACATTGC